AACACATCTGCTTACTTGAGCTGGCTGGCAGGGACACCACACCAAAACCAGCAAGATGCCACCCTGCTACCCAAGCAGCACACATTTTTAGGGCTGCTGTGAGCAGCTCCTGGGGCAACTGGGCAGGAAAGACTCCTTCCAAATGCTAGCCAGAGGTCTAGAGAGAGGATGCTCTGGTTTCATCCCACAGCAGCCTGAGAGCTGAAGCTCCTTTCCTCCAGGCGTTAACACTGTACCACAATGTTCCTGACTAATATATAAGCCTAATGTTTTGCACAAGGTTTGTGAAAACCCATCATCAGGTCCAACCCTTACCCCAGGACTGCCAAGACCGCCACTAAACCATGTCACTGAGGGTCTCATCTGCATAGTCTGTGAACACTTCCAAGGACAGTGACTCCAGCACTCCCCTGGGCAGCCTGTTCCAATGCCTGAGCACCCTCTCTGTGAAGAAGTTTGTCCTAAACTTCCCTGGCACAACTTGAACTCTTACCCTATCACTTGTTTCTTGGGAGAGGAGACCGACTCCCACATCACTACAGGCTCCTTTCAGATAGCTGTAGAGAGTGATAAGGTCCCCCCTGAGCCTTGTCTTCTTCAGACTAAACACCCTCAGCCCTCCTCATCGGACTTGCAATCGAAGTGCACAGCCCAATCTTTCCCCAGCCTTTCATACTTCCCTTGGGAGTCTCAGAAACATTGTTTTCAGTACATATTTAGCCTCAGTTATGGAAGATAAGAGGAGGAGGCTGTGACCCTACACATATTATGTTTATGGAAACTCTCCTCCACCAAAACAGCATTGGCACTGCAATAATAATGTCCTTGAGATGTTTGGTAAGTAGCTTGTGTTTCATGTCCCATCCTCCTTCCCTTCTTCCCTCCCAGAAAAGCCACTCTCAGAAGCCAGGATTTCTAGTAAAGGCTCTGTAGCAGAACAACTTCATCCTCGAGCACCATCCCTAAGCAAAAGCTTGGCAAGAATCGAGCTCCTGTTGGAAATGCTGCAAGTGCGAACAGCCGTGTGCAGCTTACAGGGAAGTCACTGCTTGCTTTCATTTTGAACCAAAGCAGGCCAGTGAATGTTGGCTCTGCATTTATGTGGCTTCCACATCCATTTAATCATTCCCTTTTCTCAGGAAGACTGCAAACAGTCTCCTGGATGGCTCAACCCTTTTGTCCCATGTCACAGCATCCCAAATCGCAAGCTGCAGGCAAAGTACGAAAAAGAAGGCAGTGGAGTTGCAGCACAGCTGGAAGCCAAGAGAGAGTAGCAAAGTTTGCACCTCTGGGGCTGGTCTAAAGCCTCACTCCAAGTTTAGCCAGCAGCACCTCAGCACTCGGGACTCTCAAGTCCATTTAAGGTGGTTCTGAAATCACCGTGACTTCATAGATAAGCACCCCGACGGGACAGACCAGTGCGAGGAGAACTCGGCTCCGGCTTTTCCACCGTCAAGTCCGTCAGCACGGACACCTTCCTCCCTCCCTCCCTCCCCGCTCCCTTCCCCGCGGCCGCCCGCACCTTGTTCGCAGGCTCCCTTGCTGCGCTGGCTGATGGCAGGCTCGCCGCGGCTCTGGGCGCGCAGGCTGGCGGCGCGGAGCTGGCACCCGCTGCTGTAGGTGAGCCCGTCGCTGCCGCACACCGGGTAGCGGCTCTTGCAGAGGCACACGCCGGGAGGGCCGACGGCGGACGAGAAGAGGGGTCCCAGCGCCGGACCGCCCTTGGCTTTGCGGCGCTGGCGGCTCTTCACGCACTCGAGGCCGAGGGCGCAGCGTCCCCCCGCAGCGCCTCCGCCACCGCACGCCTCGCCCTCGCCGCGCCCGCACTGCCAGCAGCAGCCGCAGGCGTCCCGCACCCGGCCCAGCGGGCAGCCCCGCGGCGGCAGCGCCGGGCACTGAGCCGCCTCGCACGGCCCGCAGCCCCCCGCCGCCGCAGCCGCGGGGGCCGGCACCGCCAGCAGCAGCAGCGGCGGCAGCAGCAGCAGCAGCAGCGCGGAGGGCGACATGGCGACACGGACGGCGCCGACAGCCCCCGCAGGCGCGGAAACCGCGGCGGGGAAACCCCTCCCCGGCCCGGCCCCGGCCGTGGTGACGGCCCCCGCCATGGCGGGGGGGCCTCCCCGCACCGCAGACCTCTTGCCCTTTCCCGTTCGTGTGGTGCCCCCTCAGCCCCGGCATCACGCCGGTCCCTCCACCTGTGCCTGCCACCGGCCGTGCTCAGCTCGCTGCCGTCCGTCTGTCAGGTCTCCTTGTACGTAGTCGGGACAGCGGTTTTTGCCCGCTGCCTTCCTTCATCTTGGCTTGTGGCACCTGCCCCCAGATGGCTTCCGAGGGGTCCCCCGAGGAACAGGGAGACGTTGACACCGGCAGAAACTGAGAACATTCTTCAGGCAGTGCTGGGCGATGATGCTTCAGCCTGTCAGGACGGTGACTTGAAACTGCAGCAACACCCAAAGCATCGTGGTGCTGGCAGATCCCTTGCGTGGCGGGGTGGCACAGAGTGCTCTTTTCTGCCCTTGCACTTGTTCCCCCTCTCGGGCCTGGCTGTGCCTGCAGGGGTTCACCTCGAGTGGGGCAGTCCAGGCCAAGGCAATGCTCAGCGTGTACTGCTTTGGCACTCTGGGGCAGAGAAGGATGGAGTTAGTCAGTGTCCTTCACTGTGAAACGGGGGGATGCAGCACTGCCCGGTCTGGATTGCCAGCATCCAAGTCCTACTGAGTGGCCCGAGTCACCATGTCTCTGGCTGGGAGAGGCTGCGAGCTCTCTGTGAACCCAAATCTGCTCTGGAGGGATGGATCCACTAATGTCTGTTCAGCTGCCACCACTGTGGGAATGGGCTTCTGCTGCGTGCTTCCTCATCTCTCTCTGCCTACCGTGGGTCATTCCTCCTGGGACATCACGGCACCTGCATAAATCCTTGGTATTCATTTCCCTCACCCTGGAAGTGTTCCATGCTTCTCTCCTCGGAGAAGGGCTGCCCTCATGAGCAAGCACTATGCCATGCTCTAGGCATTTGACACATGGGGGGGTTTGGTTTGGTTTAGTTTTTGTCTGGCTAAGTCACTATAAAAGTGATAAAAAGGGGTGAAATGACTGAAGTAGGGACAGCCACATCTGCCAAACCCAGATCTAGCTACAAAAGCCATTTTGCACAGTTCACCTCTTTTCTCTGGTTGCCAGGTATCTTCTTCACGGGCCCCCAGATTCCTTTTGGTCAGGCTGTTGGAAGTCCTGGTACCTCCTGGGCCAAGAACCACAGGGTGTTTAAGGAACCTCTAGTAGCTTACCAGGGCAGGCCTTTCTGACACGAAGTTGCTGTCAGCAGTGTGCTTGGCGGGAAGAAAAATGTAGCTCTGAAAGAAAAGACACCAACGCGTTTCCTTTCTTCCCTTTGAATCGCATTTCTGTGCCAAAGAAGGAGGCGAGTGCCCTTTCCTCTGCTTGGAGCAGTTTTTCCTCCCAAGGAGGTGCTGGTTCTTACTTTGGTGCAGAAGGACCTCTAGTGTCTCTGCCTAACTCTAGCTCGGCGTTTCTTGATCTCCAGACCTTCCTATGAGCTGTGGAAGCAGCGGAGGTCCCTGTAGCATGTGTAGAGAGGCGGCTGGGGAAGACAAGGCTGGGTTGCTCCTCCCTGGGGATATTTAATCAGTTACTGTATGCCCCAGGTTCATCTTGCTTTGCCTCTGTGGCTCCTACACATCATCTTCATTTCATCCCAGGGGCACCTGTGCGTGTTTTTGTGCACCGCAGGCTGCTCCATTCAAATATATGACACTAAATGCTTCTGGTGTTTTAGCAGTGGATTTTCAGTAACATTTCAGTGAATGCCAATATAAATCTGTAGATTCATGTTGTGCTTCTTGGGATCTGAGTGCTCCACCAAAATCAATGCTTAGTATTCAGCAGCATAAAATTTTCTGAGGTGGATTGAATTTAATTCATCAGTGGAAGCTATTAGGAATACAGTGAACATGTTTTTACATTTTGATCCATGTCATCATTCACATGGGTATCCCTCAGTTCACCATCAAGATGGTCTTTGCATGCAGCATTCCAGTGAGAAAGGATGGGGGGAGGCAGAGCTGGGTGGTCTCTCCTGGGGTTAGGAGGGAGGTTCCAGGGCCTTTGAAGGCAGGGGAGGATTTAGCAGACAGTAAGAGAGATTATGTGAGAATGGAAGCAGATGGATTTTAGATGCTGGTATCATAGAATCATAGAATAGTTAGGGTTGGAAAGGACCTTAAGAGCATCTAGTTCCAACCCCCCTGCCATGGGCAGGGACACCTCACACTAAACCATGTCACCCAAGGCTCTGTCCAACCTGGCCTTGAACACTGCCAGGGATGGAGCATTCACAACTTCCCTGGGCAACCCATTCCAATGCCTCACCACCCTCACAGTAACAAACTTCTTCCTTGTACCTAACCTGAACTTTCTCTGTTTAAGTTTAAATCTATTACCCCTTGTCCTGTCACTACACTCCCTAATGAAGAGTCCCTTTCCAGCATCCTTGTAGACCACTTTCAGATACTGGAAGGCTGCTATGAGGTCTCCACACACCCTTCTCTTTTCCAGGGTGAACAGCCCCAGTGTTCTCAGCCATATATTTCTAATCCGGGCATTTCACCTGCTCTTGCCTTCACCCAGCCGAAGCAGCACTGCTGGGAGCAGCGGGGTGGGTTCCTGAGCTTACAGAAGGCTATGAAGAGGGACACAGGCGGGTGAACAGTGAAGTCAAACGGGTGCCTTTTCCGCGCGGAACACTGCTGCATCCATCTGCCGGCCTTCGGGTTCCCCCTTTCCCCCCATCTGCAGCCAGCACAGGGGCGGGAGCTCCGCGGAGTTTCCCATCTCCAGACTTGGAGATGCCGGGGATGCAGGACCGCGCTCCTCCTCCCGCTGCCGCGCACCCGCCAAGTTTCGGTTCCCGTTTCCCCGCCGGGGCGGGGCGTTCCCGGTTTTGTACCGGCTCGGCCCCGGCGCTGCTGAGCGAACCGGGGATGGCGGCGGGGCGGCAGCGGCGGCGGAGCGGGCGGCGGGGCCAGGCGAGCTGCCCCCTGCCGAGCACGGGAGGTACCGGCCGGCGGGAGCGGGGGGGAGGCGGGGGGAGCGGGGGGATGTCCCCCGTCGGGAAGTGTCTGAAGGTGTCCCAGGGAGGGGGGCGAGAAGGAGATCGTGCTGGGGAAAGGGCATGGGTTTCCATCGCTGGGTGCGTGTTGGGATTAAGCTGGGGAGGTGTGAGAAGGGTGAACTCTCTCCAGAGGTGTTGGCTATATTCAGGGAGGAGGCTCTGATGATGACCACCTTTCATGCTTGGGCATCCTGGGTCTCAGAAACTTGTGCTGCCGTAAGGCTACATGTGAGTGACTGAACAGATCTGGCCCGTCAAGTTCAGGAAAGTGCCTGCAGCCCCTCAGCTGTAGAAAAGAAGGGACTTCTTTCTGCTGTAAATGGTGAATGTGTGAGTTTTCCATCATTGCTTCTCCAGTGTCTTGTAAAACCTCTTGACTTTAAGGCATCCCATCCCAAGGCTGTAACAAACTTGGGTCAGATACCTCAGGAAGTGCTTTATTTCCCTAGGACACTCCTCAGTTGTGCAAAAGTAACAGTGTTAGCATTCTGCTGATTGCCTTGGGGGCCGCTGGCACTGCAGCCTAAAAGAGGGATAAATGTCTTTTAGTGATAGCCAGGAGAGCCCTCTGGCATGAAACCTAGCAATGGGTAGGTCACTGAAACCTCAGGAGGTCTGAGAAAATAACTCTCACTTTTTCCTGAGGAGCAGAAGCTCATGGTGAGAGCAGCAGCACACAGAGATCTTGGGGAGGGGGCCAAGATGGTTGAAATGCCTCCTGTCTTAGCATGACCATCATGCCTGTCGGTATTTGTTGTGCAGAGCACATGCAGATGCAGAGGAAGGAGAAGATGCAATGCTCAAACCATGATGCAACACACAGGCTTGTTCTCTCCGCTGATGGGGAGCTGTCTGAACACTGGGCTGCAGCTTCAGCTGACTGCTCTGAGACAAGGTAAGAAGATTTCAGAGGGTGGAGGTAAGGATGGTATGCCCAGGGCTGAGGCCTGTTCTCCTCTAGCTTCCCATGATACAAACCACAATCAAATCAGTTAGCCTTGCTGGAGGAGAATAGCATAAGAGCAGAGTGAATCATCTTAGAGGTGATCTCTATTTTTCCGTGTAATTCATGCTAAATGTGCTAGGGCTTGGTGAGCAAAGAATCTTCTTTTGTCTCATGGCACAGCATCTATCTGTTTTGTTTGTGTTTTTGTTTTTTCCTTTTTTTATAGGCTGGTGAAAGAACTAGGAAACCGTGATGTTGTTCAAATTGCATGTGGGGACCAGCACGCCATGGCTCTAACCAGAGGTAGTGTCTTTCAAGAACACTTTTCTTCCAAACGGGAGTCATGCTATGGCAGGCTTGCTCTCAGAAGGGAGTGCTTGAGCTACTCCAGTAGTTGGTGACACCACTACAGGGTAATGAGCAGTGGACAGGGGACACAAGATGCACTGGCTGCCAGTGCTGCTCTTTCCTCCCAGCACCCGAGGACCTGCAGTTCTGTCTCTCACCAGTTCCCAAGCACTACCCCTCTGCAGAGGGAGAGCAGATGTGGCCATCCCACTCTGCTGTCACCAGACCTGTTCATTCATAAGTTGGAGCCCCTCTATGGTTGGGAACTTCTTGCAAGTATGGTTTAGAGATGGTAACATCCGGCCTTTATTCTTGCTGTGCTGAGTCACATGGGCAGCATGGACTGCCCCAAAGGGGTCAGAAGCAACACAGAGATTTGGCTACAGATGACGGTCTCACCTCAGAGCTAAGTCCCTAGAAACAGCACAGATTTTCACACTCCCACTCCCAAGGTGCAAAGACTAAAGGGAAGCAGGTGAGGCTGAGGTGGTTTCATTTGTTGTGTGTGTGAAGGAGGAGAACTCTTCACGTGGGGCCAGAACACCCATGGACAGCTTGGAGTGGGGAGCCAAGCCACGCTCACCCCTCAGCCGCAGCTGGTGGAAAGACTAAAGGGCACCCCGCTCGCTCAGATTGCTGCTGGAGGAGCTCACAGTGCTGCCGTGTCACTCTCTGGAGCTGTGTACTCCTGGGGGAAGAACCATTCTGGGCAGCTGGGACTCGGAGACACACAAGGTAAGGAAAGACAGCAGTCGGAAGGTGTTTTCCTGGTTAGTGAGGGTTCCTCAGGGCTGTCAGGTCCCTTTGGAGAAGCATGAACAGCAAAGTCTTTTGAAGAAAGTGTATCTGGATTAGTTCTGTATTTCCTGACCAGGAAAGGCAACCAGAGGGACAAGGGATTTAGGGGCTATGTTTCTACAAGGGCGCTTCCAATTCAATCATTTTATGTGGCCAGCTGGATAGTGTGGGCTCTTAAAACCATGTCTCAGGTCTCTTTCCACTCCCATTCTCTCTCCAGCTAGTCCTGCATGAAATAAATTACTTTTATCCCTCTTTGCCTTCTTTAATTCTCTGTAAACACCTGGTGACAGAAGAATGAAAATCACCCACTGTCTGCAAACCTAGAAAGCGAGAGCAGGGTTGCCCTACCCAGACAGAACTTGAAGTCAGAGGGAGCTGAATGAGTCCACACCCTTGAGGGTCAGATACTTCGAGGCCAAGAACCTTTTGGCAAGCAGATGTAAAAGCGCTGCATTTTGTTTCACATCAAATGTAAATGAAGATACTATGAAAAAGGCAGAACATTATGAGAAAGAGTGTGTTACACTGGACGGCAGAAAACAACCCCAAACCAAGTGGTAAATACATGAATTGCTGTAAGAGACCCCTGAAAAGCACTAACACACACACCCACCCATCTTCTAAATCTTTCTTTGTCCTGAGATCCCCCCAGTACTCTTTCACCTTATCAGTGCTGTCTTCTTTCCAGATAGAGACTGCCCATCATATGTCAGAGCATTAGAGCACTGGAAGGCTGTGTTTATCTCATGTGGGGCAGATCATACTGCAGCCCTCTCCAAGGTGAGTCTAAAGTCAGCATCTGAGACCTCACCCTGCAAGAAAAGATACACTGCTGAAAGTCAGCACGGGGAAATTAGGATGGCATTTAGGAATTAGGATAGCAATGGCATTTAGCAATTAGGATAGCAGGCACTCGGACCTGCTTCCATCTGAGTCTGAAAACAATCCCCAGGATATGTTTAATAAGCTATTGGGAAAGCTGGCCTTTTCTTGGATTTTCCTTACCTGCATGCAAACATGGTGAATGGGAATCCTGGGGCAAAGAGGTGCAGTTCAACCTCAGTACTTTTTGAAAATACTTCCTCTTTTATAGCATCCTGGGGACTTCAGAACATGTGAACAGTGGCTAATTCACTAGGGTTTACTCATGCATGTAAAATCCTTCAGCAATAGGAAGAAGCTATTCTCAGGAGTTAAATTGCCTTTCTCAGGAGCTAAATGATTTGGACGTTGCAGTGTATGATTAGGCTTGATGCAAAGTGAACTCTACCCTATAGCTTAATGCATCTTACTTGTTTACACTCTTGGTGGTGACAATTTGAATGCCTTTAATAATGTAGTGATCCTGTTGTTTCTTCACCCTGTGTTGGTTGTTTCGTCATCTTCAAGGAGGGGTTGGTGTGCACCTTTGGAGCAGGAGGGGCTGGCCAGCTTGGTCATAACTCCACTCGTAATGAACTCACGCCTCGTGTGGTGGCTGAGCTGTGGGGAGCAAGAGTTTCGCAGGTTGCCTGTGGCAGGTAGGAAAGTACCAGTAACGTGCCTTCTAAGGTCAGGGTCTTAGAGGAATCACTGAAGGGAAGTAGGGAGGGAGACACCAGGATACTCAAATCCCTGTGTCCCAGTAGGTCAGCACTGTCAGAATACTGTCCATTTTTCAAGAGTAAGCCACCCTCCTGCATCACCCCAGGGAAAGCAGAACCCACAGCCCATGCCAAGCAAAGGGAGAGAGCTGCAAAAGCCACTAGAAGCTCTTGGGTTTTTTCTGTTTTAAGAAACAAAGGGTGTACTGGGCTCCAAAAGGCAAAAGACTGTCAAAAGCTGGCATTGGAAAAGTCATTGAATTCCCACCCATTTTGACAAACTGGGGGTCCTTAGAAAGAACTGAAGAGTGGTGGTAATTATCTGATTTCATTCTGCCTTTCTGGAATTAGGCCAGAAACCTTTTCCTGTCAGCTTCCCTGGGCTTTGTCTCAGGCTCAGCATCATAGAATACGTGCTTTTAAAAACAGGAGGGCATGAAGCTAGCAATGCATAGTGCTTTATTTTTGTGTCTGAAACAAGGGTAAATCACAAGCATTAGCGGATAGTATGGGAAATTTGAGTCCGTATGTTTCTTTATTTCTGAGTGTTTATGTAAAGAAGTGTCCTAAGACTTTAGTTAAAGGGATCCTATACCTGGACATCAGGACTTTGAAAGACAAGCCTCAGCTATCCACTCTGACTAGCAGAACGTTTTGTTCTGACTAGCCCAGTGGTATTAGCTCATTATGACCATTTTCCTTTCTCTGAACAGACAGCACACCCTGGTCTATGTCCCCTCCTTGGACAAAATCTATTCATTTGGTTCTGGTGAAGGACAGCTGGAAGATGAGGTAGAGCCTAACCAGTTGATACCACTTCCTATCAAGATACCAGTGAATACTGGAAAATCCTGCCAGGGTAATGATGATTACAGATGTGTACAATCTGTATTAGTTTCAGTGCACTGAACTCTGATGATAATGACTCCCCCTTCAAAACTTCCTTTGAAAATCTATTTTATTCTTTCACAGAAAACAGCACATCACAAAAGGTGATTGAAGTTACTGCAGGAGGAAACCAAAGTATTGGCCTTTACAAGGAGGACCAGGTATAGGCATATTTGATCACGGTTTCTAACTTTACCATTGTTCACATTACTGCTGGAAACATCTGGATTTTCCATCCTGCTTTTAGCACTCCAAGTTCATATATACATCTCATGCAGTTCTTTCCATGCTTACCCAGAAACTAACTTGTATTGCAATTATATATCTGTTATAGACATTCTATATTATATAATATCTGTTATATATTTATTATACGTTGTATGTTACATATGTATTATATATTATATGTTACATATTATGTTCTGTGTTGAATGTATCTTGATAATGCTGGATGACCATTAATTTGTTCAAACTTAGGCTGAAATCTTCTTGTAATGATTGGCTTCAAAAAAAAGAATCCCGTCTGCTAGACCTGTAACCTTGTCAGTATTTCCATGCATTTCCCACAGAATTCCCATTTGGATGGAATTGCCACTCTGAAGGATAAAGAAGTGGATGAATGGATTTCTAATTCCAGTTCACAACACTGGGAGAGTATAAAACAGTAAGTCAGAAGCCTGGTGTTGGTTTTGGTTTGGTTTGGTTTTTCCCCTAATATGTGTTTTTCTCTAAAAATCACTATTCTTTGGAAACTGTTGTAGGAAATGCTGTTCAAGAATTTAGCTGAGAAAAGATCTTGTACCAGCACTTCTTATCTAGGTTTTACACAGGAAAAACAGGTGTTGATAAGCAACAGCCCTTCAATAACCCTTCTGCAGGAACAGAGAGGACTTACTGCCTGGCTTCAGAAGCCTGTCCTCCTCTTGCAGGGAATGGTGAAGTTCATGAAGAACTGACAAGTTAAATCAGTGAAAGACTGGGTCTGCAGACCAAGGCCTTGTGCAAATACTGTAACCCAGAGTAACCTAAATGGAATGTTCTGTGTGCGACAGCTTTTAAAATTAGTGATCCCTTCTTTAGTTACCCATTTTCAAAAGCACTTAGTATGTATGATTGTGGGAAGCCTTACACCTATGGCTGAGAATCATAATTACGTAGTCTTTCTTTCAGATCTTACACAGGAGGTTATTTTGTTTGGACAAGTCTGGCTACAGCTGCTGATGTTGAGCATTTAAAAATCTTGGATCTTTGGATCTAAACCGTTTCCCTGACCACTCTTAGTATGGTTTGGATCATATGGAAAGTGGTTGTTGAGAAGGCGAGAGAGAGTGGTCATTCCAGATCTCAGTGGAAGGGCCTGACAGCAGTCACTTGATAAAATAGCTGCTTTAATAAGAATAGAAATAGGAATACAGGTAGTGAGTAAGTCTAACATCTCTTCAGATGCTGGAAACCCAGCAAATGCATACCCTGATGGATTTTCCCCCAGTGTGCTACAAAGATCCCCTTTGTGGAGGGGTTCCTCCCATGCCGCATTGCCTTTTATTGTGTATAACAAACAAAACCAGGTAATATCCCAATGTCAGGAAAAGATAACCCCATCATAACACCTGCCAGCACGCAACACAGGCTGGTGTGGGGCCCTTGAGCAGGTCCCCTTACAAGGCCCAGGACAGCAGAGGTGGCTTGCCGAAGATCACTAACTAATGTCTTCTGCAATGCTGTCTAAGAAAAGCTGAGCTAGGAAAAGTTCTTTGTGCTCAGGTGCAGGCACACTCGCACACACGTTTTTTGTTCTTTCAGAATCAAAAGCCTGAAGTTGAAAGGATTGACTTTGGTTTGTTTTCCACTCTCAGGAATATCAGCGTGATCTTTTCATCTGAGGCTTGCATTAATGGAAGCTTCCTGGAGAAAAGGTAGTGTGCACTTACTTAGATGTAACAGAACATACTGTAAACTAACCAGAAAGTGTTATTTTAGGGCTTGTATGTATAGAAGATCAGTCATATATGAATTTGCAAGAAGCAAGTGTATATTTTTTCAAAGCCAAAGCTAACATGAAGGGGTTTATTCCCCAATCCTATTGAAATTTGCTACAGAAGCTAACATTCCAGCAGATTACCCTATACTGACAATTTTCGAGATGATGATAATACCTTCAGGCAATTATACAGCTCCCAAAGGATCCATATAATATCTCTCTCTGTCATTCAAGTGCAAGTCATTTTGGGGTGAAATACAGGAACCCTACCATTAACAGTGTGCAGCCACACAAGACAGGATATTAATCAGGTCACACCAGAGCGAGAATATTTTCTTAGAACAGATGAAATCATACCCACTGGATTTGGGACTGAACTGTCCAAGTATTTTCTGACCATAGGATGCTTCACTATTCAGTCAGCAACAAAAACCAGCTTCTCACATCATTTGGTGTTCTCTTTTTTCCTTTGTGATAGAGACAAACACTTCAAAACTTCCAAAGAAGTCTCAGGTGTAGACATGTCACAAGTGCAACTTTTTTATGAGAAGATCAGCAAGAAGCCAAACATCTTCCAGGAGGTAAGGATTTGGGATAAGAATTCTCACTATGCAGAGTGCTGGACTTGTGCATGAAACTTGGGAATTTCATGCCAAACTAATTCATAAATAATTTTGGCAAAACATAATCACATTTTGAACCTTTCTCTCTTTTGTTGTTGTTTTTTTCCTCTGAAGGTGAAAAAGGAGATTGAGAAGTTACTGCCATCATTGTCTTCCTCTCCCGTCTCACCTGAAAATTTCAGAGTCTACTTGATCTTGCCTTTCCTTCTGCAGGGAGAGGATGACAGCTCTTACCGTTCTCTCAGTCTTCTAGCACAAGCCATCACAAAGCTCCAGACAAAGGACCTGCAAACTCTTGGTAGGATTTTATGATGATAGGACTAAACGATTTGAATGCCTGGTCATTTTTGGATGAGCAGCAAGAGTTAGTATCGCTAATTTGTTCCAGAATTCAGCCTGAAAGACATGCTCTTGGTAGAAACAGAAACATGCAACAAGAGACATGAAAAAAACCCCAAACCCTCAGTCTGAGGTTTGCTAATTTCTGTAGTGCAAAATTCAGCACTTTTTTTGGTTTAGGTCATTTGATAAACAGAGAAAATGCAGCTTCATCCAGAAATTGCAGTTATTTGCATTTACCTGTTACAGATACTTCACTAGCTGTTTTCTTTACAGAATGCCTGTGGTCAAATCTAGAAACATCATTCTTAAAGAAGCTGGTCATTCTATATCAGAGGGTTTCCCAGAAAAACCTATCTTGGTTTATGATAGAACTCATACACATCCAAAGAGACCCCTTCACTCTGCACCCACATGAAACAGTGACTCTGCAAATACTGCAGATTCTTTACCAGGTAAGAAAGTGTTTGGATCCTGATTAGATGAGTATCAGAGCAAGTCAGAATATTTTAATCCTTTTTACTAGTTGCATTTTCTGGGTTTCCTTCTTACAAGGGAAGATGGGGCCTTGTCATTTGACATTGCTTCAGGAATCTCTTTGGCTCTACAGCAGAGTAGATTTGAAGGAATCGTGCTCTTGAGTTGTGCCTGGCTGACCCTCTGCAGAAATGAAGAGCCTGAAGTATGCTCAAGTGGTGGGGGTGTGTGAGTGCTTTCTGTGGTGTGAGAAGTGCATCCATTGGTGTGTACAGAACTATGGATGTGGTGTCCATTACATAGCATGCCCATTCTCCTCTCTGCTGCTGAGATCCCTCACCCCAGTAACTGCTCACAGCATTTAAAAGGCAACCTATCTGCTTGGCACATCGTGGCTGCCACACCACCACTGTGTGATGCTTTAAAAGCCTGTTACTTAAGAGATTTTCTGGGACAGCAGAATTAGATCATCTTTAGCTGCATTTGAACAATGGAAAGAAAGGGGGCAGCAACTGTATTCTTATTGACAAACATCCTTTCTCTTGCTGAGGTGTTCAAAGCTTAGGAAAGTCAAGAGCTCAGGCATGCGCTTCATAGAATCATAGAGTACCAGGTTGGAAGGGACCTCAAGGATTGCCTAGTCTAGGTCATGCTTTTCCAAGAAAGGTTGGACCAGTGTCCCAGCACCCTGTCCAGCTGAATCTTAAAAGTGCCCAGTGTTGGGGAATCCACCACTTCACTGGGGAGATTATTCCAGTGGTTGATTGTTCTCATTGTGAAAATTCTCCTCATGTCCAATCATAATCTCCCCAGCAGTAACTCGTCTCCATTTTCTTTGTGTCTACCCTTTAAATACTGGCATGTGGTGATTAGTATGAATCAGAGAGAGTTGTTAAATTTTGTTCAGAATTGAATATCCTTTTGGCTGAGAATGCAGATTTGGGCCTCTATAGACTCTTGAATCTGTATTTATACAGATAAATAAACACCAAAGTGCTACAGGCCTACTTCTCTGTAAGTGGTTGCATCATTTGGAACTTTACATGTTCACTGTCCACCACCAAATTGTGTCTTTGCCAGGCAACAAGTCTGGACGTGAATAGGGAACTTCAGATTGTCCTGAAACATGACAGGTGCTCAGAGTGAAACATACCTTTCTGATGGAGCCCTGTTAAGGGATCTTAACTGTAGATGAAAATTGCTTTCCTGCTAGTTTATACATGGCTTTCTGAGATGACTCACTGTTGAGCACTGTGCTTCTTGTAGCACTTCTGTCCTTCCACTTCTGCCCAGGGTCTCAGAGCTCTGTTTGCAGAAAAAGCCCTGTTACTCCTCAGTCTTGTCCTGCCACACAGACACATCACTCAACCTGCTGATGCCCCTTTTCCTATTGCGTGTGTCAATGCAGGTGAACTCCAGAACTGGCTTCAGAGTACAAGAAAACAACTTCTATGTGCCTCAGGTGAAATCGATTATCATAGCGTATTGGTCCTTTAATACGAAAAGAGTAAGTATAAAATCTTGTCAGCAGCACAAACCATTTTCTTCTGTTTTATTTAAATTAGTTGCTATATCACGGGAAGCAGCAAGTAATGGAAATGTGGATAGTAGGGGCTTCCGTAGGCAAAAAATGCACTTTTCTGGCATCTTGGCTGAAATTTGCAGGGCACACTGCCTCATTCTTTCATAAGCTTTCATTTGCTAATTACCAGCTTTATACCAATTAACCAGAGGAGAGGAGGAGGTCTGAGAAACAATATAAAATCAAAAGCCACGGGACATTACTTGAAGTCACTGCCTTATCACACTGGAGGTGTAACACTGATTATTTTGTATATACCAGTTTCTACCTTCGGTATTACAGATAATAAACCCAACTGTTTTTAACAATGTACCATAACACGGGTATCCAGGACACTTTTACTGCCTATTTTGGTTTAGCTGAATTATGGAAGATGCTATTTAAATCACTCTGTTTCATTCTTGGGACACTGTAACACAAACGTCTGCCTGCACAGACAGTTTAGTTGCTCCCCTGTCAGGGTTTCCCACTCACAGAAGCACTTAGAAGCTGCTTTCAGAAAGCATGCCTCTGTTGGCGTAGTTTTTGTGTACAAAACAGGGGCATGTTTCAGATACAGGAGTTGGTCAGAGTAGTTCAGCCTGCACATGTACCCCAAACTCTGATTTTGCAAGAGAAAAACAACGTATCCTTTCCTTTCTTCCTTTTCATTTCAGATGGCCCTATGGAAGCTGACTGAATATCCATGCGTCTTTGACATGCAAGACAAGATTGATATTCATTTTACAGAACGCAATGCTCTGTCCAGCATCTTTACAGAGGTAAGTATTGGCATTTTTTTTTGTAATTTAGAAGAAATACACACATTGATACACTGCTAACAGACTGTTACTTCAATCTTCAGAAACACATAATAGAAAACTGCAATGAAAAGTGGGTTTTTCCAGTCAGAAGACAATGCCTTCTGCAAGACATATGGACCCATTTAAATAATGCACCAACCCACCAATTCAGGAAGATCTTAGGGGTAAGAGACAAAATTGTATGGTTTGTTAGCTCTAAATATATTGCTGCAGTGTTCTTTGGTTTTCAGTGTTAGAAGTATTGGTAGAAGGATTTCAGTATTTGCTGAGCATACAACAAAACTACTCATCACATTATTATAGAAACATGTTCCATTGGGGACATAGAGTAAAGCTGGAGGGCAGTATCATACATACTTATTCCAGGTAGCCATCAAGTGTTGTTGGTGTAGGTTAAATGCAAGTGGCAGTGCTATTTACCATGAGGTTACTTTAAGGTAATAGGATTGCTCATGAAACTGGCAATTGGCACTCTGTTAACTATTACTTTAAAGGGCAGTTTGCTGTATGTGAAAAGCCTGGTGGGTGGAGAGTCAACCCTAGAGGCCAGCAAATGACACAACCACAGAAACCATTTCTCTCAGGGGGATGCTATCCGAAGAGAAAGGAAGGAGAGTGCCAGCCAGAGAGATGAAAAGCTGAGTATAATGCTGCTGTTCTCCATGTAGCTTTAGTTTGCGATTTCCATGCAAACCCAAAGGTTCTGGCAGCTGTTATTTTCTGCAGGCATCGTAATGCTAGCCCTGGGGTGGGAAGAGAGCACCTGCCGCAGGGCAAAGCTCAGCACAGAGACCGTGTGAGTGTCAGTCGCTAGCATAAGGGCAATCAGTCTGGCACACCTCTGCAGCAGAAACTGCTAATCTCACTGCCCTGTTACCCACTTCTGGTTCTGTCCAAGTGAGCCTTCTTGCCAATCAGAACTATCAGAGCTTTTCCTTCCTGTACGCTTAAGAGAAGAGTCACAATGGCTTACAGCTACTTTTCCTTCCCCCTTCATCACTGTATCAGCTGTAGGAGGCATTTATTTACAGAGGCAATAAGGCTTGTGCCCTGTGCTGCCCTCTAGACCCAGAGTTTCTCTCCACCAATAGTACAAGGTGCCCCAACAAAGTGCTGCACTTAGCTGGAGTTGGCCTTTGAATACACCTCTTGTGGGCACTGCCTTTCATGCTGTGCATCACAGCATTATTTGGCCAGAAGTGGCCTTACCAATTTGACTGCATTATTAGTATCCTACCAAGAGATACTTGTTAATCTTGATAGTCTTGTTATTAAACATCAGTCAAATTCATTTTACGTTCTTCTGAGAATGAGACATGCATTTCAATACATGTATCAGTTCAAAACCAAACCAACGCTTTTAATTTAGAGAGAAGATTCATACTGCTGCTTGTTATCACTGTTTAAAGTTATTTCAGTCGGGATACAGTTCTTCCTCGTAAAAAACATCACTACATAGAAGATTTTCATTAGTGCCACCACAAATACACAACACTTCATGGGATACACTAGAATTAGTGCTTCCTGTTTCTCTTTATCTGCCTTAGCAGTAATTAAATACTAGGCTGCTGCAGAGGTCTTCATAGTTCCAGAAAGTACAAGAAAAATTATGACAGTCACTAGTCCCAAAAGGAGGCTCTCTCAAACCAACTGCAATACCCAATGAGATTAACTAAACTATGTCGCTTTATGGAAGCCCAGGAGTTAGGAAATGCATTGTACTAGTTGTGCCTAAAAAGCTTAATCCCCATCCAGGTCCACAGGTGGAAGAACACATAAACTGGTATCGTAATAGGAAGGAGGAGACTATAGAAACATAGGCTGTTTGTACTGGTGCAGCCCTGTGGGAAGGTCTCATCTACGCTGGCTGAGTAAAACAAGCCTGCTAGGGACAGCAGGGGCACAAGCACGGTCAGCGTGGGCAGGGAGGGGAGCATGCCTCCTCCAGCCATGAGCACCGCTTCACTGCCGTTGGTGGCTGGGGGTTCCTCAGGCCTGCTTCAAGTCCTCAGCTGGGGGCTTCTTCTGAATCATCCTGGCAGCCTCTGGGATCATGTTGGGGATGCCATCGATGATGGGGTACGCAATGCCCAGCTCCTCGTTAATGAGCTCGTTGGTAGCTTCTTCGTACCTGGCCAAGCAAGTCAGGGGGAAACAAGAACAACTGGAGTGAGTAACCTGGGTTTACCCTTTGGCAGTCCCTCTCGCTCGACCTGGGGCAGCAGCAGGCCAGGGGCGGAAAACGAGAGCGCGACCGGGCTTTCTCTTCCCTTTTGCCTTTCCTTTTTCCTTGCCCATTCCTTTTCCCTTCCCTTCCGCTCCCCTCACCTCAGCGGCCGCTTGGAGAGCGGGCACACCAGGAAGCTCAACAGTGACGGCTCCAGCGGCTGCGGCTGAGGCCGCCCTGAGCCCTGGCCCTTCCCCGGATCTTGTTGCTGCCCGTGCCCGTCGCTCGCAGCGCGGCCGCCCGCTGCCGTCCACCGCAGCACCACAACCGCGCCGCGCCCTCCGCAGCGCAGCATGGCCGCTCTCCGAGCCGCGCCGCTTCCGGTGCGCCGGTGCGCCGACACCCGGCCCGGCTGCGCTGGGTGCGCGCACAGCGGTTCCGCGTACCGGCGTGCCGTTGTCCCCGGCGCGATGGGTGTCTCGGTGCTCGCAGGTGTCGTTCCTCGACGAGGAGGGCGTGGACGGAGGCGGGCCGTCCCAGGAGCTCTTCAGCGTGGCCGTCAGGGCTCTCTGCCAGCCCGTCACCGCGGCCTTCCCCCGCGTCGCCTCTGGCCTCATGTGGTTCCCCAGCCAGGTGAGGGGCTGGCCTGGGGGTTGCGGGGAGCCTGCTCCCGGGAAGTGACAGTCACGGCTTTCTTTGTGTACTTATGTTTAAGCAGGCGTCGGGCTGTGAGGACGTGTTCTTCCGGATCGGGACGCTGTGCGGGATGGCCCTGCATAACGGGTGCATAGCGCCCTTCGCCTTCCCCCGGGCTATCTACAAAAAGCTGCTGGGCCTGGAGCCCACCTTGGAGGACCTGGAGGAGCTGCTGCCAGATGTGGGCCGGTACGGGCCGGGGAGCTGCAGCCCAGGCGGGTCTGCTGTCTTGGATGTGTGCACGGAGATATCCAGGGCCGTAGACAGGGTGCCCGTGGCAGCTACATTTGACGTAGCCACAGGTTTCCAAGTGGGTCCTTGGCCTGGGCATCGATGTTGCTCTCAGACAGAGGCTGTCGTTGCCAAAATAAAAAGCCATGCTTTGGGGGAGTCTGATTTCTGCTCCATGTGAATATATAGTTCACACCACTTTGAGCTGTAGTTTCAACCTGGAAGAGCTAAGCACCCCATTGCTAATGTTGGATTTTTCTCCGGTGTGCTAGTTATAATTTCCCACAATGTCGCTGTGTACAAGCACAGTATTACCATATGCTGCAGTTGTGCCGAATCTGAGGACCTGCATGCAGGATTGCCATGTGCTGAGAAAGGAGATCTTAGCCAGATACAGGAGGGAGAGGTGCTGCTGCCACCAGCATAAAGCTTCTAGCCCCTGGAGTCTAGCATCCCGAAGAGGTGCTGTCAGCAGCTGACAAGATGAGGACCCCATCCCACAAGCCAGTGACTGTGCTGAGGTGAAAAAATGTCCTCAGTGGACTGAAACATCGAGTGGCCTGCAGGACTTTGGGAGGTGATGCAGCCCAGAACAGTTGTCCCAGATCATCCCGCTGGTACTCAGTTCCTCACTAGGTGATATCTGGAATAGCAAGGTTGTGGTCCAAGCCCACTTACCACTGAACTTTATGTAAAGTTATCTTCACAGGGCATGAGGACAGACTTATCTGGCATCCTTTACAGTGAAGGCATTTGCGCTTAGCTCCCAGCAGTAGTGGGATATGAGTATAGATCAGTTTAGGGCCATATACGAAGGTTCTGTGCGAGTATAGGTGTTCTGTATGTGTCTGCATTTAAATACTACTTGTTAAAGGATGATTTTCAGTGGAATTTTAAAGTGCATTGAATGGTCACATTTCTTCTCTTTTTCCTCTTTGTTTTTTGAAAGGAGTCTTCAAGGAATTTTGCATGAAGAATGTGACCATGTCCTTGAAAGCCTGGACATGAACTTCACGGTAAGACATTATTGTGCCATTCAGAAATACCATGCATGTACTTGGGCATGACAGCATCCACTGCAAATGACACAGCTTGTCTGTAAACTCCAACTAGCAAGGGTGCTGTGTCAGCCCTTGCAGAAAGAAAGAATGATAGATACAGCACATACGTGTCTGTCACATATAGAGATAGCATCTAATGTTTTCATTTATTTGTGTAGATAATGGAAGAAGGAGGTTCCTTGGGTACTGTTGAACTTAAAAAAAACGGTGCCAACATCCCTGTCACTAGGGATAACAGGTTGGTTTTATTTTTCTTTATCCTGTTGTCTCATTATGAGTGTGTAAAATACCATATCTATACCCATCCCCATGTACTCTTAGAAAATACTGGATGTCAGCATTGTGCCATTGATCTTGGTCCAGTAGGTTGTATGTTTTTGGTTCTTACTGTACGGACTGCATATGTGCCAGACATTGGCAGTTTGTGCAAGCAGACTGGATAAGAAGGGGATCTTTGGACATCCTGGCATCTGTATTGATAAAGGTGCCTGTCCTTATCAGGGAAATTCCTATCAAATGTATAAAATACTCCTGAACTGCATTTTTTTCAGGGAAATATGGACAGCTTGTCTGGGAAATCCAGCTAAATATACCTCTGTAAGGTTTTTTTTTAATGAGCAAAATGTTTCTTGCTTAGTTATGTATATGGAAAGTGTCTTGTGTAACAGAAAAGGAGCAATTTATCAATAAGGTATTGTGTCAGTATGAACCTCAGCACAGGGGACAGAGAAAAATTCTGTGGCCTGGGTTGTGCACATGATCTGAGGGCCCATCTGAAGGATGCATGAAAGGTCTGTTATGAAGCTTGAAGTACAGTGTTTACACTGAGTTGATTTTACATGTGCAGAGTCACTAAACAAATCCCCATCACAGAGAGAAGAGTGAAACTGTACTGATTAGCAGATGTGCAAATATCTGTTTTGATTTCAGGGTAATTCTTGGCCATTTGCTGGGAGTTTTGCTGAATTTACACCAATTAGGCCTGCTAGATAGTGAATCGCATTAGTGAAGTGTCTGATAGGATTTCACTGGAGTGTTCACATGAAGTACAAAGAGTATGATCAAAATGAATCCACGGTGGCCAGCAATCTCTTTTATTTGTGATGATCCTCCCAGCTTATTCAGTGAATAAATAATTGTCAGTGATGACTACTGTCAGTAAAGACTGTCTTTTCAGTAGAGCAGGACATACAGAATAAAGGAATAAGGAATAAAGTTCTCTGTAACTCTCCTTTTGAAATCTCACCTATTGAATTGCTTGTTTGATTCAAAATATCTTTGCAGGAAAGAATTTGTTGACTTGTATGTGAGTTATGTGTTAAATGAATCAATACAGAAACCATTTGAGGACTTCATGCGAGGGTTTTTAAGAGGCTGCCCAGGTAGAAAGTGGAAGATGTTTCTCCCTGCAGAGCTCCAGACTGTTCTCCAGGGACATACAAAATGTGACTGGCATCTGCTGGAAAAGGTACGGGATACAAGCACAGTATACTTGTGCTATATCTGCTGAGCATAAACTTCTTCTCACCTGCTCTTTCATTGAGCACATAGGCCATGAACACAAAAACAGAAGCGCAAGGGACTTTCTCTGTATTTGATTTTTGTCATTGTTTTGAATCTGGTTTGAATCTAAATCAGGTACAAGAATAAAGGAGACTAAAAATCAAGCTGAAGCTCAAGGATTGTTATATGAATCTTTGAAAAACAAATGAACAAGGAGATTCCAGAGGTTAAGAGGGCTTGAGTATGTGCAAACAGTTATAAAATTTATTGGGTAAATTGTTGTTGCTTTAAATAAAAATGGAAATAGTGAGAATTAATGGGCTTGTTTTATTTTTATCTCTTTGACAGAGCGTGATGTATGGATGGTATACAAGTTTAGATAAAACCATCAGGAATTTTTGGATTGTGTTTCACAGACTCCCAGAAGAAAAAAAGAAAATGTTTCTTGGTAATATATCAGGCATTTTAAACTTTTCCTAGCCTTTTTCTCTCCCACACGAAACATTTTAGATGCTCACACATGAAGACTACTATAGTGCCAAATAGCTTTTTGATATTTTTCCCACCCCCTGCCACATTTCCCAGTGAAAGCCACAAAGAAGTGACAAGAAGAATTGCAGAGGTGGAGCTCTGACCCTCCTCACAACCCCTGAGGCTTGCCTGAGTGCGTCTGAGCACTTTGAACCTTTCAATTCCTTTATCCCTTACTTTCATGGTTATCAGCTGTTGGTCAGAGGCCTCAGCTTGTGTGAGCAGCCTGTGTTGACGTAAGCAGTTTAGCTTTCTCAAAGGATTGCAGAAGCTAGCTCATCCTTTTTAAATGTAGAAGGTCAAGCCTAGCATGGCTTTTCTCATGCACAAAATCTATGTAAGTAGAAGAGGGGTTGTAATTATTATTAGTGAGAGGTACAAATTCAGCAAAGCAGATAATTAGGTTATGGAAATAGCCATAGTTAAACACTAATTTTCCCTTATGATTTTCATCCTATGGTAACATTATCTTGCTGGGGGTTGTTCTGTTCTGTTTTTAGTTCTGTTTTTACTTTGCTAACTTGTTTTTGTTTTTCTCCTTCAGTTTTTTTGTCAGGATCTGATCGAATCCCTGCATATGGACTGGAACATTTTAACTTTTGTATTGTAGATCCTCAAGTAGAAAATCCAGATGAGCTCCTTCTTGGTGCCAATACCTGCCAGCACATTTTGTTCCTCCCCAGATACAGCAATAAAAGAATACTCAAGAAGAAGTTGCTCTATGCCATAGAACATAATGAAAGTTTTGGTGTGTCCTAACTCCTGGTCAGGAGTGCTTTGAAGCAAAAATAAGAAATCTTTGTTACTGTCGTGGTTTAAGTGCAGTCATTAAGTCAAACCCAAGCAGCCCGCTCGCTCACTCCCCCCCTTCTGTAACTAAAAACATCGGTGTTATCAGTGCTGTTCCCAGGCCGAAAGTCAAAAGCACAGCACTGCACCGGCTACTAAGGAGGAGAAAAAATTGACTGCTACTGCTGAACCCAGGACAGTATCATTTGTCATATTTTTCTCTTAATAATCCCAATTTACTGGTTTCTACCCTGTCTTATTTTTGCTGCACTTGAGTGCATGTGTTCACTGTGATTTTGTATTGATTACAAAAATGAGTTTAGACCAGATATTTGGTTATTAGATTATAGAGTTAGGAAAGAAGAATCCTAGTTAACATGCTTCCAGGAACCAAGCTGATGACCACATATATTTACATATACATGCATCCTGTTTACACTGTGCTAGTCTTCTTTCATTGGTAAATTTAGAGCAGCAGGGATTCTGTGATTTATACACTACCAGACATACAGCCAGCACGTGCTAAGCAGTTGTCATTGCAAGAGGAAGCTAGGCTAAAGTTTTAATCTGTATTAGTGAAGGATTCTCTTGGGGAGCAAATAATGCTGGGAGAGGTGTTCCTGTAAACTGTGAATTGAAGGAGCAGCACCTGCATATGGCCTTTGGCTTGTTTGGAAGAAGTTCTTAGGATGAGGATTCATCATTCTTAGACTTTCTCAGGAGCTGTATTTGTAAAGCATTAATGGACTTGTTATGTAGTGTGATAGCACTGTGATATTTGTCATGTTTCTTTATATCTTCTAAGGAGATGTTTGTTGATTAAAATTTTAGTCTTGCAGTAGAGCTTTGTCTACAGAACCCTGTGGACATGAGGCTTGTAGGGCTCCTGGAAGCTCCTTGTTAAAACAATGCATAGCACTGGCAGGGGGTTGGAACTAGATGGTGTTAAGGTCCTTTCCAACCCTAGCCATTCTAAGATTCTGTGACATTGACAATGTCAGGCAGGATGCAAAGGCAGGAGGTGTATTTTTCTGTGTATTTTTATTTGTGTAAATACATATTCAGAGAATGGTGGCAATAATTTTTCAGTAGTCTTCTCTTGCCTTTGGTGTGTTAAATATTTTGGTGGACATATATATATGAAGACTTTTATTGTGTGAATTAAATGATGATTGATTGAATTTCCACACCTGTAGTTGTGTTCTTTAGTTATCAGCTGCTTATGCATGACAGTGTATCTGTTTTCTATCTTCATCGGTATGAAGAAGCCATTCACAAGAGTCAAAGGCTGATGCAAGTGTATTTCAAAATGGATGCATTGCATAGGCTGAAAAAGTCAAGCTCTTCCACATTTGGTGCAGAATATGCTTTAGATTAATGTAAAAATGGAAAGTGAGAAAAAGATAGCAATTTTTATCTCCTCTTCTGTCTTGACTTTGTGTTGGGTATCACATGCAGATGCTCTTGGACGACGGAGGCTGCCTCTTTGAAATGCCAGTAGATGATATAAACCTTTTTTGGAAGTGATTGTTAGGATAGTGTTTCCATCTCAATTGAAAGGGCATTGTTACAGATTAAGAAAAAGAAAGCTTTCTTTTAGGTTACAGTGTAGTGAAGCAGTCAAGCACTGGGAAAGCGGGTGGCATGGCAGTGGTGATGATAGAGAAGGGAACTAGTGCTTTGGAAGATGCCAGCTGCCAGCCAAGGTGACTGAGGGTTGTGGCCCATGCAGAGCTACCCCTTGTCCCCCTTGTCCCCCTTGCCAGCCTGTGGTAGACAAGACACCACAGGGATGTTTGCATCCTCTAGGAAAGGCACCAAACTGCTGCAGGAATATTTCTGTGGGAAGAAGGAACTGGCAGAGGCCCAACCTGTTGTCTCCATTGAGCTGCTGGGTTTCCATCCAACACTTGGCTGATGCCATACCATCACAGCTTTCTGTAATAGCAGCTTAGCTTCACCAGCCTGCTGCTGGTTTCCTTTTTTATGTTCTTCTAAGCCTCTCTTAGGGTTTAAAAATCCAGAGTGATCTTCTGTGCTGTGCAAGTTCACAGAAGATGTATTCTGTTTGTATTTCAACCCACTAGAGATTAAGTGATAACAGGTTTATTTAGAGCGTGGAGGAATTTCCTTCTTATCAGGTATGATGCAACATCACATGGGAGATTAAAGCCCAGTGTAACTTTCAAGGCTATTTTTAATTTGCCCTCAAATAGGCCCCGCTTTTATTTCAAAGTATATTGAACCTGCTGCAGGAATGTTTTTTTAGACCACTTGTCTGATCTGATCATCACCTGTAGAGAAGTGCAAGAGCCTGACACAGCAGCTGATGCGACCAGGATGGATCTGGGGTGACCATGGTGAAAAGCTCTGACAGCAAGCAGGACTGACAAGGCATAAAGCATCGCTACATCTGCACAGCCCTGTTAGAAGGTCTGTGCTATGGCCCATGGGAGCAGAGGGCTACCAATGGCACCTGGTGAAGGACTCTGGAGGAAAACACCTACCAGAAGAAGAGTCACAGGGCAGGTGGAAGCTGCCACCCTGTCTTTCTTTGTGGAGATAACTCTGGTGAGTAGTAACTTGTATTATCACAACATTCAGAAGAGCTTACTACATGCTTGCTCATGTGGTTCTTGACACTGGACTGCTGTTCAGCTGGTTGAGGGGAGAAGAGAGGTGCTTTGGAAATCAGGATGACCTGCAGATTTTGGTGTCTTGGGATATATTGAGACCTGGTTTCTGGATGACCTAACCCACCAAGGACATGGTGAGATACATGTCCTTCTGGACACAGTCCAGCCTCACCACGGGCCTGCCGAGGGCAACCCTTAGCCAGTGGGGAGATGTGGACTCCAGCCTGATGCCACCTGACTGGCTCCAGGTGAGGAAGACTCATGGTGTGATGAAACGAAGAAATCTTCAGTGATAGAGGCCTCCAAAGTGAAGAAATTCCTCAGTGGTAGAGGCCTCCAGAGGGAGCTGTGCACAGCAGCGTGCAGGGACACAGAACAGCTTCATTTTGATGTCTTCATTTAAAAATCTATCCGTTTATGAAGGAGCAGCCTTGAAAGTTCTCCTCGAAGCTGAAATGTAGCCAGTTAAAAATTGGTTTAAGCAAGAGACTCCTTGCTCCCTCATCTACTTTCCCCTCCATGCTTTTTTGTGTGTGTACCTTCCCATCCTTGCTTACTCAATTAGAAACAAACAGAGGAAACCAGCCTCTGTTTGTTGACTATTTTACAAAGGTCTTCAGATGATGAAATAAATAAACCAAACCAAAAAACAAACAAAGGAAGTATTTTTTCCTTTATACTTTAAGTTATTCTTGAAGCTGCTTGTAACACTGGTTAGGTAAATGCTATTACGCCACAGCTATTATTAGTGTAATTTTACACTACAGAGTAGTTCTTTTTATGCTAAACAAGCACAATCCATGCAAATGCAGGTGAATTACTTGATACGTGACACATTGCACGCTGAGTACACAAACCCTGCCAACTGCCAGAGGTGCAGTGTAAGGGAGATGAGTACTCTGGGTGCGGGACTTGCTTTAGGGACCTCTTCCCTTCCTCTGAGCCCTTGCAAACATCTCTGTGTGGTTTGCTCAAATACTGCCTGGGCTGGTTCCAATGCTGGCTGGCGTTTTGATGGTCTGAGTGGGATCCAGCTTGCGCATTGCTCTTGCAGTGTCTTTTTCTATGGATGGCATTAAAATCAGAAAATGAGTACTTGAGAGCTATATAATTACTTGCTCATTGTCCCCCCCCCCCTTCTCTTTCTCCCAACAGAGATTTATACTTCAACCACAAATATTTTCCTAAGGTTGAACTTTGTATAAGATGTACCAGTTCCTATGCAAACAAACCTGCCAGGTGCCCAGAGGCCATGTAGAATGCAATATGACAAAAAGCAGAGGGTAAACTGTTATTAGTATTAGTGATATTTCTTGCTTAATAAAACCAATAGGGTAATTTTTAATCGGTGCAAAACTGGCTTTCCCTTGACACCTTCATTTAGAATAGCTTAAATTCGATGATACTTTGCCCATTGGTTCCTACAGTCTATACTCTCGGCCTGCTCTGCTTGGCCTGTAAGCTTTGCCAGATCCCCGCGGCCACGACTCTCGGCCTCGGTTTCCGTGTGAGCCCGCTATCCGCGGTGCTCGCCGTCTGCCAGCGCCGCCCCTCGGCTCCCGTGGCGTCCCACCAGCGGCGGGCAGGCCCCCAGGAACGCCTTGGCCTCAGGGAGAGGAGATCCCGAGCAGACCTCCCCTGGGAACGGGGCAACATCCACGCAACGTTCCCGAGGAGACGCCGTCCCACTCCGCGGCAAGCAGGCCGCAGTCACTGCCCGGCACCAGCAGGCTGGGCAGCCTCTTAGCACCGGGAGCCGGGCCTGGCCAGACCCTACCCCGCTGCCCAGTGAAGGGGGACAGAGGGGGCACAAGCCACCACCGGCCTAGACCCACGGACTGACAGCGCGGGGCGGGGCGAGTCGCAGTGCCCGCCGCCGATTCGCCCTCGGGGGCCGCCCCTCGCTTCCCATTGGCAGCTCTGCGCCGTCACTCCGGCAGGAGGCGGCGGTACCGTGGGGTTGGACTTCCTCGTTGCCGCGGGGGCAGCGGCGGGGCTGGCGGCAGGTGAGCGGCGAGGAGCGAGGCCGGGGAACGCGGGGTTGGGGCCCGGGACCGATGGCAGTTGCTTGTCCCGCACACGCTGCTCGGCGCTGTCACAGCCCAGCCGGGGTGCGCCCGACGCCAGATCCGCTGCGCTGATCAGGCCTGGCCCAGCGAGTGCCGCGGGAGGGAAAGCCCAGCTCCCCGGCGTCGCCGCCGGTAGGGCTGCTGCCGGCCCTGGTACCGAGGCGGTGTGGTGGGGAGATGGGGTTGCGGCGGTTCGCGGAGCGAAGGGGTGGAGCTCCGCGGCTCCCCCCCCCCAGCTCGCCACCCTACCGGCGCAGGACACGCATCCCAGGGCAGGGCCTCCCTGAGCCGGTGCC